TTACTAAGAATGAGCATCAGTGGCATATTTCCCTATTCTAATTTACTTCTAAAGAGTTATCTGTGTAAACTAGAGTCAGCTCTTTTCTAATTGTTACCGTCTATTTCCTTTTGCAACAATATTTTTGGTCTGCTGGAGGCCCTTATTGTTGGAAGAGCTGATGGTCCTCATACCTTTGGTCTAGGAGTGAAACCTGGAATGCCGATCATTTGCTTTGTGGTAAAAACCAAAGTTGCATTTCAGATGTAGTTATGTTTGAGATTGTAAAAAAAAAAATCTTCAAGGCAATTTTATCACCGTGCCTTCTTCAACTGATTTAGTGGAGGTTTTTAGGAGAAATGAAAAGAGAAAGGAATCTTTAACTTCTCAGATATTGGTGTTGACTTTTACCATACTTCACTGGATCTTTTCCGAGTCATGTAGCTTATTGGTACACCTTTGCGTTTGTGTCATCTTTGTGCACAATGAAGTGAGTGTTCTGCGCATTGGTATATGTTTAATGTGAGCAAGAGGAGCATCAATAGTGTTTCTTTTGGTGAACACCAGTTGTCAGTGTAGGATTAAAAAAATACTGCTTGCATTATTATTTTGCTATTTAATGACATAAAAAGTAACAACTCTAGGTGACAAAGTCTTCCTCATGAATCTATAGCATGAACCTGCTATGCAAAATTTTTTATTTTTTTTTTACTTTCTTGCATCAAGTTACCTGTCATAGTCCAATGTGTCAGCATTAACTAATAAAAATGGTTGACTGTTTAATGACTGGCATTAACCGGCCTGGATTGTACAGGGTCATTGTAGTGATGCTGTTACTTTCTTGGAGACTCCAGTTTCCCCATTTGTCATGATTTTTGTTAAATGAACTGTGAATTTCATTTCTGTGAATAGAGGTGTAACAGCAGTAAAATATAATACAGTGTGTATTATATTTTGCAAACGTATGCACCTGCTATTTAAAAAAAAAAATTAACAGTTTTTTTTTTTTTATTTAATGGATAAAAAATCGCCAAAAGCAGCATCATCTTGTTTCCTTCATTGTTAGTAGTCAATGGCATATCCTAGCCGGTAAGAACTAAAAGGAGTAATTGCTACTTTGATCTGAAGAAAAGTATTTTTGTGTCTCAAATTGAAGATCTTATGCAGCAGCTAGCCTGTTGCTAGTGCTTCACTGATAAAAATGTGTTTAATAGAACCAAAAGTAGGTAATTCAGCTGCGAGTTTTCAGGCAAAGGAAATGCCTGGGGGATTTAGAGAGTAGTAGCCCCATTATAACTTTTGTAAGGACACAGCATTCCCCACAAATCTATTGGAGTACTTGGAAGAAGTTAATGAACACATGGATAAGGAAATTCTTTTTGCTCCCCTGTATTCAAATTTCAAAAAAAAAAAAAAATTCAACAATTTCCTTTCAACTGATGAAAGAAAATAAATTGGAAAGTTTTCTTGTAGAATAATGTTGGGTTAAAAATAAAGAGAAAAAGGATGGATAAAATGGTCAGTTTTAACAATGGAAGGAGCTTACTTGTAGAGTTCTAGCAGAAACTGTACTGAAGTCCTGACTGTTCAATATCCTTCTAGAAGAGTAAGGTAGCAAAACGTTCTGATAATTTAGGAAATTTACTTAGCATTATTAAAATGGACTAAAGAGTTTCAGAAAGATCTCAAAATACTGATTGATTTGGCTATAAGATGGTAGATTAAATTTGGTGTTGTCAAATTCAAAGTAATAGTACTTAAGAAAACAACCTTAATTATGCATGCACAGATATCTTGGGTATGCCTCAGGAGCAGGTAGCCTTGGGTAGGCGTCTTGAAGGCCCAGCTGTCAGGCCTTTGCCTAGGAAATTGCTTAATTGATCAGCATTGCTATGGACAGAGGACTAGGATTATATTATAAATGCTAAATTCTGTAATTTAGACCAGCAAGATAACGCTTAATTCAAATTTCCCATCTCATGAGAACGATCTGCCCTTCAGGGCAGTGGATAAAGATGGTCCTCTGAAGTCATATCTTAATAGTGCATACATGTATATTTTATTGTAAATGTAGTATTGCTTAGAAATGGCTATCCAGTGTCACATTTTCTATACATCTCGTTTTGTTTTGCTTAGAATAAACACCAAAGTAGAAAGTTTTGCTAATGTGTTTTTTTTAATTCTTGTAAGTGGTAAATTTTGGGTTTAACTCAAATTGGCAAGTGTCAGCTTGACAGGGGTAGAACTGCAATTAAAATAAGAAGCTTGTACAATGAAGTACCTATTCCCTAAAGGTACAAATTTGCTTTGGATTTTAGGACTAATCCTCCTAAAGCTAAGGAAGGCAAACACTTCTGACCATATATGGTCATAGTTGACAGAGCATAGTAAGGGCTGTACTTGGCAATTTAACTGCCTTTGATTTTGAAAGGAAAATTCACATCTCCTGTAAGAAGTTCATACATATTTCAAATACGATTTAACACACATTAAGCATGAAAACAAACATGGCTTCCAATCCAAACTATTCACTATGCACCTTAGACAGAGGCTGATAAGCAAAAAACTGCATGTCCATTTCTTCTCTAGGATCTGCTGAAGCTGGGACGTTTATAGGAGGTTGAGGGTCTCAACATCAAGTATATGTTCTGCTTCTGAAAAATACTTCCCAAAGCCAAACACACTTATTTTGGAACCCCATCAGAGCTGATACTGGTGTGTGCTGGGGCTCTATGCTCATGCACACCTCTTTCCCCTTAGGTCACCGAGTAATGCTAGCAGGGTGGGCAGGTGTCCTCCTCCCTGGGCCTTTCACCATCAGGGGACAGAACAAAGCTCTATGCTCTACATCTGCATTAAAATACCTGCAATATTGGGTAGGTCTCCATACCTCCTATTTAAGCTCCTCTTAAAGGACTCTATTCTGTTTTCTTGCATGTCTATTTTTAGGTATTTCTCATCCATATTCATCAAATATTAGGGGTGGCTAATTACATTGTAAGCTGGAGTTGGTCCTGTATGTCTGCATGTGTTGCATATACATATGAGTTGCATATACATATAGGGAAACATGCTCGTACTTTCTTTTATATTGTGAAATGGCAAAGATATTCTAATAAATAAACCTGAGAAATTCTTGAAAATGGACATTTTCCTTTGAAAATACAGAATTTTTTCCCTGGCTCGGAAACGTGTGGCTTTAAACCAAAAGGATTTATTCTAATTAGCTGAAAAGATTTCAGAAGCAGGGCTAAGATTTGAATAGGTCTTTCAATGTTTACATATCACTTGATAACACTGTGAAAAATAACATTTTTCCAACAGATGTGGGTTTTTTTTGAATCTATCCTGTATTGTATTTGCCTACACTAGTGACAAAGACTTTATTTTCTGCTGGCACTACTATGCGTCTCGGACAGCTGTGGGAGAGAGAGCTGCTTTTTGTTCTATCTTGTGCAGCATCAACAGAATTGATAGCTAAGTGCTGATTACAACAAATTTATTGTTGGGTGATACGAAGGCAGAACTGGATCTTTAGATCTTAAAGGACTCTTAAAAATATGGGTGAAATCATAGTATGGTGGAAGTCAGTCATAACTTCAGTGGGACCAAGATTTCATTTAGCATCTTCCTAAATGTAAACCGATTTTCTCATCTGAGAAATAATACATTTGGAACTCCACCAGTATGGGGTTTTTAGTTTCGGTTGTCAGAGCATGCACACATGCTTGTCCATGGCCCCATAATGAACTTAGTTTTGTTTTATATTTGTCTCCTTTACCAGTGACACACAATACCCAGGGATTATGTTGCTAGGGACTCCCAGCACTGTCTGCCTGCCTCAGCTTCTCTCAAAAGCAGCAAATTGCACTGATCGCTTTTTCTTCTCAGTATGTTTTAATTAATGAAGAATTGAATTATATGTGACTTTATGACCATATGATGTAATGATTTCATAGCAATACCATTCTGGAGTTTATTCTTCAGTAGTGCTAAAGGTGAAAGCACTGCCAGGCTTCTGAGAAAACCTTAAAAGTAAGCAAATGTCTTCTCCATTCTGTTGGGTTTAAAATTGCTAAAGTGCAGTTGACTATAAAATAGAAGATCTTTTGAACAACTGAGCAGATCAACTGCTGCAGTAAGTCCTGTAATAAGCTTCTCTTTATATCCTGCATCTGAATTGATTAGAGGAAGAGAATAAATCTTTTTCCTTGAAAGTGGTTGGGGGGGGTTTAATAGTAGGTAGCCTGCCAATCATTTGTATATCATGAATTTTCAAAGTTCTCCGTATTTAGATTACTCACAATAATTATATAGTATTGTTCCTGTACCCTTAGTGGCTTTGGAAATCAATATATGCAAAGATATCTTGACTCTACGAAAGGTTACATCTAACTATTACTTCAGATGAAAAAATTAGTGATAAACATCATTCATAAATTTGTGCACATTTGAACATTATAGTTAAATATATACTACATGTTTTGCTGATTAGATATGTAGGACCTTTATTTTTAATGTTCCTGAACAGTATCATGTTTCTAATTTCATATTTCTAAAGATGAATGCAGTAACAGTTTGTAGCGTATTGGCTAAGGGGCTAATTGTTATGGTGCAAGCAGCAATATGGAAACCTTATAGTAGTTACACAATCTGAAATTTGCTTTTAGCAACTATTACCATATTTGAATATGAGAATCTTTTTTTTTTTTAATGTTTGTATCCATAAAACTGAAACTCACAACTCTCCAGAGAAAGCAAACTAGAAGAAGTTACAGACTTGATTTATTTCCTTAATTTTGTGATGGGAATAGTTATTTACAAGCAATATTTTTGTAGTATTTACTCATTTCTACAAATAAAGAAAATCCTAATCAGGTGCTTTAAGTCTTTTCTAATAACATATTTGGCACATGATATTTTGGTTCTATTTATATGCTATTCATAGGTACAGTCACTAGTGACTCAGAAGAATTGATAATTTCAGTTATATTCATTTCTTTTCTTGTTTTCATTCATAGGATGCTCTGGCCCTCTAGGAATAGAAGGAGGTATTGTGTCAAACCAACAAATTACTGCATCATCCACTCATCGAGCGCTTTTTGGACTCCAGAAATGGTATCCATACTATGCGCGACTTAATAAGAAGGGTCTTGTAAATGCTTGGACTGCTGCAGAAAATGACAGATGGCCATGGATTCAGGTAACAGATGGAGCTGCGGAGAGAAAAAAAATCTCCTTGATTCAATTGTCGTTTAAGAAACTGATGAAGACAAGTGGTAAACTAATAGCTAGATTCTTATTCTCTGTCATAAGTGTAGCCTAGACTAAAGTGGACTATTGAGTTGCAAAACAGTAAAAATTTCAAGGTTATAAATAAACAAATCTTTTTGTTTGAAAAGTGTATGCCTATGTTCTGTTGTGACTTTAAGAATCTCTAGCCACAGAAGCAGATTTAGAGTCTTTTCAAGGAAGCTCTTTTCACAGGTGCTACGTTTGCTCAGTAGGTCCTTAGTAGTGTTTAGCAGCAATATCTCTTGTGGGACATGCTTTGATACACTCCTACAACCTTCTTTGGGGTATAACTCTAGTCTACTGTAATATGTTTTTTGCCATACCGTGGCCTGTGGAAATAGTTTATCCTCTCTGCCTAGCTGCTCAGCACGCACATATGCTTTAAGCAGTGTGTGGATCACTCTAGAAGTAACAGTAATTGTTTTATTTAAGGTTGAAATAGTTGTTAGTTCAACCATGTCTGTGGGGCTGAAAATAATTTTTTTTTTCATTCCT